AAATTCGGACTTGGACCATCCTGGCTTTCAACGGTTCAAATATTACAGTATGTCGCATAGTCTAGTTGCGATGATGGTAATGTTGCTTGCTAATTTATCGCGGCTACATAATACAGTACAGATATTCCCCATTAAAATTTATCTTGATGAACTTAGGCCCCATTTTATTCAACATCTACATAAACTGCGATGCACTAAAAGACAATATTGGAAACAACCTTAAACATGTATTAGCATATTTTAGCAGCAAATTATAAATAGTCAATGCTGCGAAGACGACCTTTGTACCCTTCGCGTCTTATAAGAATCACTTGCCTCCGTACACTGAAATCAATGGCAATGTAGCAAATAGTGCTGTCACTATTAAACGTCAAACCAGTGATAAATACCTCGGAATTTATATTGATAAAAATCTAAGATGGCATGTACAAATCGAGTATGCAACAAAGATACCTGATGCCAAAGTTCAAGAACCTAACAAACGTGCTTAGGTTTGATTGTGCACTTGTGCAATCACATCTTTGTTACTGCTATTGGTTGCGGAGGATCGGCATTCACATGTTTAAGAGGAATGATGGACATAAGCGAGATTTTTATCTACAATTCCTTGGTGTATTACTTTAATAGTAATGGAAAAATGATCCATAAATATGACGCCCGTCAGAAAGCGCACCAAATAGTACCCAAGCCGGAAAAAACACTATTACAACGCTCTTGGGTTTATCTATGCCCCAAGCTCTATAATGAAATTCCTATCGCCTACAGAACAATACAAAATATTGGACTATTTAAGAAAAAAATTTCATTGTGGAAAAAACCTTCCCTTGAACAAAATCCATGAGTATACAGATGACAAAACGTTATACTCGTACATATTATGGATAGTCATCAGACTGTGACTACTGTATTTTACTCTTCTGTTATACTTACGATCACATTATTTTTTTGTTTTTGAATATTTAAATGTCGTGAATATTCATGCATGTACTATTTTTTCTGTTTTAATATTTTTATCCATGTTTTTTATTCTCACTTGTTTATACTTTACGCATAGTTATAGCTTCAACGCATTTTTAACTCTAATACTATTTTAAACAAACAAATAACCACTGTCATTTCACGACTCAACCATAAGTTGTTTCGTTATTGACCCTATAGAAACCATCAGTGCGTGACAGAGCGATAATCAGAAGCTTACAAAGCATACATTGCGACCATGATGGGAAATTTGACAGAAATGGGATTTTTACCACACACAAGGTTTCCCTTTCGTATCAGTGTTGTTGCTCCTATACTGGCAACAACTTATAGAAAATCTCTATATTTGACAAATAAATTATTAGTATTAACCATTGCTCTGAAACCAAGAACCTCCAACCGAAGAAGAACATTCCGTCCCTGTAACCTTTTTGTATCTGCGACTTGGAATGGGGCCGTTGAAAGAATCTCAGAACGCCGCGGACACACGTGGGAACCGTACCCCAATTGCTTTCCATCTCTTTCAAATCTACGAGGTCTTCTATACATCCATCCTTCTCCTCCATCCACGGAGATGCGAACGAGAGATAGGCAGATTCCGGTGACGGCTGTCAAATGGATCTCGGACGGTGAGCTGGTCAGGGTGATACCAGACCAGAGTATCGCGATTCGAGTGAAGTCAGCTCGGTACGGTCCGGTGGCAGGTTAAAGACTCCCACAGCCGGGACACGTCACTATGTGGCGATATAGAGAGATTGCGGTGACTTCTTGTTACTTTTCGCAAACTGGTAGGGATATAGAGTAACTACTAGGATGTTTAAGGTTATTCATCGAAGGTTTATACGTTTTTTTGGCAGAAGTGTAGCTTCTCTACGAAATCAATAACCGCTTATCACGAGTATGTCACTGGCATAGCTGAAGCTGTGTAAACGGTAGGATTCTAGCTTTATTCATTACAACCCACCATGAGTCTATCTAAATCTTGTTCAACTTCGTCTCTCCAGTTCCACCGGCCTATTCAAGACTTTTTAAACGTTTGCCTAACATCTACAGCTACAATAAGAGCATGGCAATCTGTCGCATTAGTACTGTTCTAGCATCACATTTCCAACGAATTTTGACAGAAAAATGTGTTCTAGCAGAATCAAAGTCGAAACCGTTCAAAACTGGTGTTTTAACAACGCATGCGCATTTGACTCACATCAGATCAAGAACAACTGGGCGTTACATAACGATAATGGCCCTTTTCACACAGCAATGTCAATAAACGAGTTTTGGCCAGTAACATGTGAATTTTTCTCTTCACGAAGTTGAAAAATCACCTCAAGGGAACTCATTTTAGGATAGTCGAAAACATTCAAATGGCTGTAACCGACCAGCTGAAGGCTATTCCAGTTTCGGAGTTCCAACACTGCTATGTGGAGTGGAAGAACCGTCTCCAGCGCTATGTGGATTCGGAAGGAAGTTATTTTGAATTGTGATTATATTTAATTAGAAAAATTAAAAAAAAAAATTAGTCGCATTTAATTTATAAACATCGTAGTATACAGGGTGTTTCAGTTTATTGTTGCATAACTTTAAGATTCGATACAACTTTTAAAATTAATGCATAAAGTCTATATAAACATGGGTCGAAAAATGCGTGGCTTCCAAAAAATCAGGGTGTTTAAATTTACTTTCTAAAATAGTTTTTTTTAAATATTTCGAACAATATTTGATGTATAACTATAGTTTTACCGTAGCCCCTAGAGGGCGCTCTCTACTGTACCTGTAGTGTATTAAAATGACCGTCATTTTTTTCTTAGTGCCAATTTTTGCTTTTTGAATAAAAAAAATTATTCTTCGCACTTTTCAACATAAAAAAGCTCTTCTGTGAGTTTTCGTTATAGTTAGCCGTTTTTGAGATAGTTCGATTTTTATGGTTCGATGCATTTTTAATTATTTATGGGAAAATAATATTCTTTTACATTTTCGATTTGGGCATTACAAGTAATTAAGATGATTGATTAGATTGTGTTTTTATACACAGCAATAATTCCTAACTCCAAATAAACACAAAAAAAGCAGAATATTAATTTGTTTAATTTTCCAATATTATTTTTAACAAATTAATTTAGTTATTTACAACTAAAATGCTATTGGATAGTTAGAACAAACATACAAAACCTAAAGTAGTTGCTTGAAATGTAAACCCAATTGTTCAATACACAATTCACATCTACGAACGTTGTATAGCATTATTCAAATGAGACCTTATTTCATCACATGCATTCCTGATTCTTTCTATTAGCATATCTCTTGTGGTTACGGGAGTCTGGTACACTTTTTCTTCTAGAAATCCCCACACAAAGAAATCTAATAGATTTAGGTCAGGGGATCGTGGAGGTCAGGCGACTGGTCCTCCACGGCCGATCCATCTTTCTGGATAATTTTCGTCCAGCCAGTTTCTAACTATTCTCGAATAATGAGCTGGACAACCATCAAGCTGGAACCAGGCCAATCTTCTTAAATCTAACATAACATCATCCCACATATTTGCATGTTCAGCCTTTAAAAATTCCAAGAAGGTCACAGCATTTAACCTTGCAGGCAAAAGCTAGGGTCCAAATAGTCGATTACGGTAGATACCAATCCACACGTTCACACTTAATTCATGCTGAAAATTTCTTTCCCGAACTGCATGCGGATTTTCATGCGACCAAATATGTTGATTATGAAAATTTACCACTCCACGTCTAGTGAAGCATGACTCATCGGTCCATAAAACGTTACTTAAAAACTTCCTATTTTTATCAGTTCTATCAAGAATCCACTGACAAAATATGATTCTCCGTTCTCCGTCCCCTGGCTGTAGTCCTTGCACAGGTTGCAAATGGTAAGGACGTCTATGGCCATTTCTAAGAACACGGTGAACATGGCTTGCTGAAAATCTCAATGCACCAGAAACTCTCCTAACACTTGTGGTCGGATCTCTATCAAACTCACGCAGAATCATACGGGTAAATCTGCGCTGACGAACATTTATGTTTTGAACCCTTTGGAGATTTCCAAAACCATTTTCAATTATTTGGCGATGCACTCTTACAAATACTGAGCGAGTTGGATGTCGTCTGTTTGGAAATCTTCGTGCGTATTCTCTGGCTGCTTCTGCTGCGTTTCTATTTACAAAGCCATACACAAAATGAATATCCGCTAACTCTTGATTGGAGAATAAAAATGGCATTTTTATAAAACTTACAAAAAAAAACAGGTATAAGAAACTAAATTTCGTGCATTCACAATTGCAAAAAAACGTTTCAGGTTTCAACCGACAACAAAACTAACTGTCAACTAATTGACGTTTAACCTTATTCTGCTTTCAAGTTCAAAAATATTTGAAGGCACAGCCTACTTCTAAAAATTATCGAGATACTGACTTTTTAACGTTATTTTATCATAAAAATGCATCGAACCTTAAAAATCGAAATATCTCAAAAACGGCTAACTATAACGAAAATTCACAAGAGAGCTTTTTTATGTTGAAAACCGCGAAGAATCAGTTTTTTATTCAAAAAGCAAAAAATTGCACTAAGAAAAATGTTTCGGTCATTTTAATACACTACAGGTACAGTAGAGGGCGCCCTCTAGCGGCTACAGTAAAACTATTCCCATGGTTCGTTTTGTCGTACCAGAAAACCCTTGTATACCAATTTTCACTGCTATACATCAAATATTTAAAAAAAACTATTTTAGAAAGTAAATTTAAACACCCTGTATTTCGGAAGCCACGCATTTTTCGACCCATGTTTATATAGACCTTATGCATTAATTTTAAAAGTTCTATCGAATATTATAGTTATGCAACAATAAACTGAAACACCCTGTATTTCGCCGTCTTCAGAATCTTAAAAATAGGGCACTTCCTCCAAAAGCTTCGAACAGCCGTAGTTGCTTCAACATATCATACCACCACCAGCTGCATAGTTATGATTCTACTCTTGTCTTATACTTGTAGCTGATTGGTTCCTTTTTCGCACTTTCAGCAGCACACTCCCGTCCAAAAAACACCCAGTAGCTTCGAGCGCCTACAGCTACAACAGCATATCTCCTCACCACTACCAGCTTCAACTTGCCTTCGACACAACAGTCTGTCGTACTGTTGCTGGACTTACGAGGGCGCAGCTGGCCCTGTGCAAGCGGCAACCGGACGCAGCTGCAGCTGCGTTTGAAGGTTTGCAGCAAGCTGTTCAGGAGTGCCAACATCAGTTCAAAAACCATCGGTGGAACTGCTCGGCGCTTGCTACCCGAGGAAGGAACCCTTACATCAGCGCTATACTCCAGAAGGGTAAGTATTTCTTTATTATCAATCAGTGGCCCTAGGTGTGCTGAACCATTCAGCAACGAAAATGGTATAAACATTCTCATACGCTTACTAACTTGCAAAGATTGTTTACCAATTCTTGCAATATGAAGTTGGTTCCCATACGTACAGTAATTGAGGCTTTATATAAAAACAGGGAACAGTATTAGAAGATCCAAGATATAAAAAGAATAAGGACACGCGGTTAACATCAAGGTGCCAGTTATGACGACTTTTTTTTAAAAACAAACAAAAAGCGTATCCTGAGAAGTGACATTGTCGCTTTTTTGAAATTATAGGGGTTTTTTGTGGCATTATGTAGAATTTTCTACAATATTTTTACTCTTCAACTAGCTGTTGCTCACTTGATGTGAACTCATTCTGTAGCTACGCCTGTTGCGTAACATCATGGCACTTGGGCTATAAATGTTGGGCTCGGATGTGATATAACATCAGCTTCAGAGATGGCACTATTGTGGTCTAGGTAAGCTTTAAGTTGTATACTATAGCTGGAAGCAGAGCATGTGTGCTAATAATCTGTGTTGACGATAACTTCCAAGTTTCTTTTTTCACATACACTCACTTGAGATGTATACTTCATCCTAGAAATTACATATTCAAATTTGCTGAATATAAAAATAAGAGAGATAAAAAATCCTGCATGAGTATCATGTAAAAAACCTATAAACCGTCAAAAAAACCTATAAGATGTCATCTTGCAAACTAGGCAGTTTTTAGGGCGCAAATAGTCATTCCACGTTGACTCACTAGGATCGTTGTGAACGTCCATCTAAGGAGGAATCACTCAGCTAAACTAAACGCATTATTGGTTGCATATGTTTTGTGAGGCGAAATGGTTCTTGTCTGTAGTTTTTATCTCTGAGAAGAAAGTTTGTTGAATAGCAAGTTCGCATCTGGATGATTATGTGTATTGGTCTGCATGTGTATAAAATCAGTGATATTTGCTGTGTGAGAAAATCATTACTGAATATTCTGCCAATGAAATGTATCTATTGCCTGTGCGCGACGGGCTATTTTTATGTTGTGCTTTCTGAAGAGAGGTTATGTTCAAAGTTATAAATTACGAAGAACTGAGAAGAATTACGGGAAATCATCACCGCGCCCGCGTTGTGTGTAATTACTGTTAGCATGTATATGGCATGTAATTCGACAGTGAACAGTGAATATAATTATTTCTTACCTCTCATTTTTGAAATCCGTCAAATTTGTATATGTAATTTCCATAATGGATAAGAAAAAGTGGATACGCAACTAGCTTTGAATCTCAATTAAGTGTATTTGAGACAAGAACCCAATGTAATTATCATCAACACATACAACTTACGGTTTAGACCTACAGTAATGGCATCGCAGAAGCAGATTTTACATCACATCAGAGTCAAAGGTTGATAAGAAGCCTCATGACGTTTAGGCAACACGAACAACTAAGTGCTAAGTTAATATCTTGAAGAGAAACCTACATAATGTCAAAAAACAGCATAATGTCAAAATAAAATCGGCATAATGTCACTTTTCAAGTTACGTGATACCCGTGCCGCGTTGGTCAAATATATTACAACAGGTGAAAAAATAGGCTACAGACAAGAGTATTCTTGGAACGTCAAAAGGTTATTACATTTTACATAATTTTTTACTTTCAGTCATTTAAATTTCGTAAGAACCTATTTTGCGATGCCGGGTAAAATATATAAATCAGAGCCTAGCTGTGAGACACTTCGAAAATGTTTTACATGTGATGCGTCATACCTAATTTCTCTGTGATGAGGCTTAATTACACACAACGCGGGCGCGGTGGTGACTTCCCGAAATGCTTCTCAGAGTTTTTGAAAACGCAAAAAACCGGGAAAAAATGCATTTTAAATCTTTGAACATAATCTCTCTTCAGAAAGGACAACACAAATAACCCGTCTGGTACAGCTATACTTCACAAGCAGCATATTCAGTTTTCTTACTTAGCAAATATCACTGATCTTATACACATACATACCAATCCACACAATCACCATTCAATCATCCAGATACTATTTTGCTACTCAACCAAACCAATCTTCTTTCTGATACAGTCTCTCAGATGTATACTCGACAGACTATCTCGGCATTGTGCAACCAACAAAGCATGCTGGGGCACTGAATTGCAGCATGGTAATTAAACTTGTCGTGGTGTTGAGTCATTCCTCCATATGTTAACATAGATGTCGCTTTTGGTAACGCTCACAATGCTCATAACGAGCAATTTTCAGCCTTATCAGTTGGACATTCCGGTTTTTATACTGCTTTTTTTTAATTCACTAACGCTCTAAAAATGAATATTTCAGCCGCAGTAACGAATCAACGTTGGCGGATTTTGGTTCTTGACATCCTTTACGATCGGTTACGATGCCTAGAGTACGGAGACTTGTACGATTTCGTCAACTTAGTGAGTTTGATAGGGGCCGTATAGTGGGACTTCGGGAAGCTGGACTTTATTTTCGGGCAATTGCAGTTAGAGTGCAAAGAAGTGTAGACACTGTGGTTAGGTGTGGTCAGGCATGGCTTCGTGAAGGCCGTACGCAAAGAGCAAGGGGCACTGGACGCCGCCGTAGAACAACAGACCGTGAAGATCGCCGCCTAAGATTATTGGCCTTAAGGGAACGTTTCTCCACTACCAGGTCCATTGCAAATGAATGGTTTGCAGAACACGGAAGACCTATTGGCATGCGAAGTGTTTACCGAGTTATGAGAAGTTTTGGCTTGTTTTCATACCGGCCACACTGGGTCCTCCCTTTAACTCGAGAACACCGACGTAATCGCCTTGAGTGGTGCAGACAACGGTCACTCTGGGATCAGGAATGGAACAGTATTGTCTTTAGTGACGAGTCTCGATTTTGTTCAGGCATGCACGATGGTCGTGCCAGGGTTAGAAGGCGACGTGGTGAAAGGAGGAATCCACAGTTTTTTGTTGAAAGACATGTTCATCACACTGTTGGAGTTATGGTTTGGGGTGCTATAGCTTATGGTTCCAGGTCACCTTTAATCTTCATCAGAGCTAACATGAACGTGCAGCGTTATACCCACGAAGTTCTAGAACCCCATCTTGACACCCTGGCAGATCCAACTTTCCAACAAGATAATGCCCGACCACATGTTGCAAGAGTCACAATAGACTTCTTTCAACATAATGATGTCACATGGTTACCATGGCCACCAAGATCTCCCGACTTATCCCCAATTGAGCACGTGTGGGATATAATGGGTAGGAGATTGCTCAATTTGCAACGTCCTCCTCAGACTCTAGAAGCACTTCGAAAGGAGTTGGTGGTTGCCTGGAATGAGATACCACAGGAGGACATTGACCACCTGATCAGAAGCATGCCTAGGCGCGTTGGAGAATGCGTAGCACATCAGGGTGCATCCACACATTATTAAAGGTGAAAGGGCTTTAAAGCAGTGCAATCATTTTGAAATTTTTATCATTTACTTATTATGCTTCATTAAGTACTTATACAAAATTTTATTAAAATAAAACCATTTAAACTGGGTGTTCGGATTTATATGTCACTTAGTATATTTGCGCACTACGAATATCTAGTCAGCAAGTTGACATTTGACAATAGATAGTTTTCTTAAGAAATCACCCTCCGGGTAGTAGATATAACCGCAAGTAGGCTAGCATGCATCATAGGAACTGAATCTGTTGAGTTGAATTTGCAAAGGGTGAGTAAATACACCGTCTTGTTCTTAACGTACCGTCTCCCTTTTTGGAGGCTGGGTATTAGAACCCCAAATTCCTCTCTGTTTTTGGCTGTTCGAATCATTCCCTCAAGGTTCAGGTCTATCTATTGTAGTATATGTATTGGCCAACCTTTTTCTTTCTAGCCTTTTTTTATTTGGGCATATCGGTATTTATTGTTTCCAAATATGTAGCCTCAACAACCAGTTTGTGGATTGGCCGAGAACATTGCCTGTCCGGACGTATGATCGTACCTTTTCCGCCAGGAATTTACTGATGCCATCGGGTGGCATACGGACAAGTCGTAACTCGGATCATTCAATCAACTGGCGTGATTTTAAAATACCAGTAAAACGTTTTAACATAGCCACTATTATATCTAACAGATAGAATTATCGAGATCATCAGTTACTTCAACCTCTTTCTCTGATACCAAAGATGCCACATTCACAACCCCCTTCCTCCCTATAATACCCAACTCACAATTTTAGACCCCTATAAAAATTTTTGGTAAACGAACAAAAGTTCATGGAACGTAAAAAACCAAGTTTCACTGACTTTTTTTTGTTTTTGGCCGTAACCAATTTTCTAGACTGGACCAGTTTTCTAAATCTACAATTTGTTCGTCCTTGGTATAGTAGTGATTTGTGTCAAAATCGTCAAAAGCCGAATGTTATGTAAGCAGACAGACAGACAGTTTGGCGAAGATGAGTGACGTGGTTTTTGTCGTATAACATCAAAAAAATGGCGTCAAGTAGGTTGGCTCTATACTTCCCACGCAACGTCGTTATCAGTTTATGAATTATAATGTTCAACACAAGTTAGACCCTCTGACGAAAAAGTTACTTACGACCATCATAACAAAGAAATTCAAGTCAGTAACACGTGTCCACACAATTAGACTATGCAGATTCTTTCCCTGCCTAACGGTAGAGCATCTGGTACCATCGCCTCCCCAAAATACCTGACCGCACAACGCGTCAGACGCGGCAGTAAGGCCAGAACACTTACCACGGCCGACCCGCTCGTCAGAGATCCTAGACAGCAGAAGCATACCAAAAGCATTTCTCTATTATTCCAAGTTTTAGGGGCAAATGTACGGGGAAATCTATGATGTGTGAAATATTTCTAATAGGTGCCTGGAATTGAAGTTGAGAGCGTATAAATCTACTAACATGGCAAAAATTGAGATATAACATCTCCCAACCCCCTACAACCCCTCACCTCCTAATTTTTATCGCTAAATTTTTTTTTCAAATATGAAGAGGATGCTCAAGAACGTCAAGAATC